CCATGCAGGATAAAGTTTAGCTTGTCCATTATCCAACACATATGATTCCTGTCGTTGATTCTTCAAGTGAACTACGTGAAAAGACGTCGACATAATTGTATATCGCGTATTTTTTTTATTTTTCTTCAAAGCCCTTACTATTAGAAGACGTGACACCCATGCATCAATATGTTGTTCTACAAAAAAAGACATATTAGTGAATTACATAAATTTAAAAAAATTAATCAAAATGAAATATAAGAAGAAATATAAGACTTACCCTCATCGAAATAGCCATTGTCTTCAACCCCTAATAACACACCCCACCAAGACCGTTCAATCGACAAATGCATATCATCGTTGAGTTTGTATATGTCAGCGTAACACCCTTGGCTCCGCTAATATAGATAAAAATCAACTGTGGTCTTAGCCCAAATGGTATTATCCAGAATTGTTTCCGGTAATTGCTTCCTCTCCACTTCATCTGCCGGAATGGTACTGGCCGGTAACTTATACGAAAGCCAACAATCATCCATCATATCCGGCACGTGAGGGGGTTTCTCAATAATTCGATATATTATGCCGTGTGAATCGGGCTCTAGAATGTTGGGAGGGGACTCTTGAGGGATGATAGGGGCCTCTTGAACGACAGGGGAGGCCTCTTGAACGATGACAGGTGAGTCGGGCTTTTTCTTACATATTATTCGCACTATTGGGGTGAACGGAGACTTAATGGCACGTGCACGTCGTCTGATGCGTGAACTCTGTCTTGTAAGGAAAACCAAACGTAGAGCATCCACCTTAGCGGGCCGCTAAAAATAAATTAATACATAAATCAGTAAATAAACAGACATGATATTAAACAGTGAAAACAAAGACAAATATATTTCAAACTTGCACGGTATTCGCCCAAGTCATTATTCTATCAGTGTTCACAAAATGCATCAGATAACATTCCAGAAGTAATCACTTATATAAACATTTAAAAGGACAACATATAGGTTTAGTGTAGGTTCAATGACAACATAAAGAGTAGTAGTTTATTCCTGAAACTTAAATTTTCAACACTGTGAAGTTAGTATTTGGCTTTGTCTTTTGGTTGAAGTAATGCAATTCATTCAAGTTTCAATTTGCAGAAGAAGAATAGAATCTGAAACTTAAAATCACAACGCGAAAATGATTATCGCAACGGGAAAATGACTATCGCAACTAGAGAATCGCAATGCGATTTTCATTTCGCATTGCGATTCTTTCGTTGCGATAGTCAAATTCGAGTTACGATAGTCATTTTCGCGTTGCGAAAGTAAACTATTCTTCTTCTGCAAATTAAAACCTTAATGGATTGCATTACTTCAACCAAAAGACAACCAAAAACAAATACTAACTTCACAGGGTTAAAGAATAAACAGTTTAACAGTATTGGCAGCAACAGAATGAATTTATTAAGCAATCTAAGTGAAATGGTTAATCTAAGTGAAATTACAAGTAAATTTATCATCAAGTTAAATATGAAAAATATTAAACTTATCTTGTTGTGTAGAGTATGAACCTCATTCTGCAACGATGCTACTATCTCACGTAGAGCGGCTACCTCACCAGATAAAGTAGACACCTCAACACGCCATGCACTATTGTCATCGCGTAAAGTACCGACCTCCTCACGCAAGGCATTGACCTCATCACGTAACTCCCTTAACTCATCCCGTGGAGGTGGAGGTGGAGAATAGGGAGATAAATGTTGTGGCATCTTTGCCGGTCGCCTATCATGAGGTGATGGTGGAGAAGAGGCTCGATGATGTGACAGAATAGGTGATGGCTCTCGTTTTGGAGGTGTATAGTCGAGTCGATCAGGTGATGGCTCTGGGTGAGGTGATGGCTCTCGAAGTGAAAGCTGCTTATCATTCGTGCCATAAAAAAAAACGCTTACTAGCTTGCCACCAATCAGTGGCAAGCTCAGCTTCCGTGGGTGTCAGCCTCTGTAATGGAGTGTTGGACTCCTAACAATATAAAAGCTCAAACAAAGTTAAACGAGTACTAGTAATAACTTGTTTATAAACACATGGTAGTATTTGTGTTAACTTACATTATTTATTGTTGTATACGGTAGTAAATCTTCCCATTGCTGCAAGGTCTGTTTTCTCTTCCAGGAAATAGTCCTAGGAATATCATTAGAAGTTTTTAATGCATATGTCTGCATGGCGGGAAAGGCCTCAAATATCAAAATCTACAAACAATATAATAAAAAATATTAGTAATTGTTAAATAATAATTAATTATAATTTTAGAAACATTATATAAAAATTCTTACCTTAAAAGCCCAAATAAAGCATGACAAAGTGTATTTGGAACCATCGCCACGCAAACTTTTTCGATCATCAAAGGCATACGACAACTTATTCCATGTAGCTTTTCATAGATACGAACCCCATAGAAACATGTTCCATGCATTTAGGTCCTCTACCAATTTAATTAGATCATTAAGAATAGGTTGTCTGGCCTCTCTGCCTAAAAAGTCGGTATACAAAAGTATTAGAAGGCATACTCGGACAACATCGACGTCATCCATCCGAGTAAAACCATATTTCTTATTCAATAATCTCGTCAAGTCTTCCACGTGTAAATTTGGCTTCTCCATTGACAGCTCAGGAAAAACCCGGGATAACCATGATAGGCGGGTAATATGTCTAGTATACCGATCTACATCATCGTGTCCGAAGCGTAGATCGATGATTAAACAAAACTCCTCCCGCCCAAAACACGTATACGCCGGTGGAAAATCAAACCATATCTCTTCATCACGACGTTGTATAGTCTCTGGTAGATCGCTAGTCATGGTTTGAAGAAACAAATGGGTCAACATAGCATCTCCACCCGGATGTTGTACTTTCAGCCATGGCCCGAAGCAAGTATCCTCAAATATTTTTCTTTGTGCAGGTGAAAGCTTCGACGCAATTGTTTTGGCCAGGCTTAATTTATTTCTTAAGGTCAATTGAGCCGAATAAAAGTTCTACAAAAACAATAAACATACCAAGTTAGATATACCAAAAACTATATTGTGAAGATATACCAAGAACAATAAACATAAAGAGTAGTAGTTTATTCTTCAAACTTAAATTTGGAACACTGTGAATTTAGTATTTGTCTTTGTTTTTTTGTTGAAGTAATGCAATTCATTCAAGTTTCAATTTGCAGAAGAAGAATAGTTTCTGAAACTTAAAATCGCAACACGAAAATAAAATCGCAACACGAAAATGACTATCGCAACGCGAAACTAAAATCGCATTCCGATTCTGTCGTTGCGATTTTCATTTCGCGTTGCGATTCTCGGTCTCAAATACTAAAATTGAAACTTGAATGGATTGCATTACTTCAACCAAAAGACAAAACAAAGACAAATACTAAATTCACAGGGTTTAAATACTAAACAGTTTAGCAGTATTGGCATCAATCGAATGAATTTAATAAGCAATCTAAATGAAATAGTTAATCTATTATTGAAATTACCAGTAAACTTATCATCAATTTCAATCTGAAAAACCTAATAATAATGCAAAAATTTCAAAATAAAAATAATTAAAAAAACTAACCCTCGGTGGTTGATTTGATTGATTTTCCATTTCTGACCGTGAATGATTGTGAGGGTGGCTCTGATAGATGGAGATAGACGGATTTCGCCGGAGATAGGGACTGATTTCGTCGGAGATGGGGACGGATGTCGCCTTAGAGAGTGAGAGATGGAGATGAGACTGAGTTGTGATTTAGGGTTTTAGGTTATGAGTTGCGATTATGGGATATACTGTAGACGGTTCAGTGTTCTGATATATTAATATTCGTGTTTGGAATTTGAAAAAAAATACGCGTTGCGATAATAATGGCGCTTTGAAAATCGCATTGCGATAGTCAGCATCGCGTTGCGACAGTCAGAATCTCTTTGTGACAGTCAGAATCGCGTTGCGATAGTCATACTCACATTGCGATTTACATATTCGCATTACGATAGTCGGAAAATCGCAATGCGATAATCAGAATCGCGTTGCGAATCTGGAAACTTATTTTCGATACCGGAGATCGCGTTGCGAATTATCGATCGCATTACGATTTAGTTGGTCATTTTGGCAAATCAAAAAAATATTAATTAAAATCAAAAAAATATTAATTAAAATCATATATTATAAAATAATTTTAGTTACTGAGGTTATTTTCTCTTTTTATTATGTTATCTCAAAAAGCCTATGCCAAGTGAAGGGCATGGAGAAAACAACAATGCACAGAAAATGGATAGCAGTGGTAACGTGAGGGGATGTCCGGAAGGGGTCCCATGGGCGTCCTATCGGAGGTGGAAAGTCATAGTCCAAGAAACCAGCCACATCAGAATTTGGTTCGTTTCTTTCAAGTAAATTACATCCATTGGTTGCTCTTTTTTCCTGGTATGGTCGGCTCAATCTTTTCCCACGTCACCTCCGTTTACCTTTCAACTTAATTATTATTGCTATTTATCTTTTGTAAAATAATGAATAAAAACAGTAAATGATGCAAAATTCGATGAAAAAAATCATAATGATTAGGTATACATCTAGTCCCCCTTAATTATCAAACTCTTAATAGAATACAATAAATTTAATCTCACAAATTATATAATAATTATTTAAACATACCACTCCTATATATTAGAACAAATTACACTGACTTTCTATACATATATATATTCATTTCTTTGAGCTTAAGAAAATAATAATAATTATTGATCACATGTGACAACCAAAACCATCAAACAAAAATTAAAATATTTCCTAAAAAATAACACGTCAATTACATTTTCCATTTCCTGCGTTAACCTAATTTGTAAGAGAAACGTTGAAACCGTAAAAACTTTTGCCAGATAAGCTAATGGGTAAGTTACCTTGTACTCCGTGGGATGAGTTGTCAAATCAAAGATTCTTGAATGGCACCCACCAGCTCTCATCAACCTTTACGCCTCTATAAAAGCCACTCTCTTTTCATGCATCCATGTATAATATATCCAATTATTTCCCCTTCCATAATTTCCTTCCCAGTTCCTAATTATTTCTCTTTGTGATCCCTATGGCTACTGCTGAGGTATTGGCTAATTCATCAGCTGATTGTGGTCTTGGCGTTTGTTATCGAAAACCCTTTTCCATCCACGTTTTCTTTTAGATTTCATCCTTGAGGAACTTGGTTTTACGTTTTGACTATTGTTTTCATGATTCCTTATATGCATATTCTTATTTGATGCTATGTGTTATAGGTTGTATCGGCTCAAACTGCACTTCATGAGGAGAAAACTGAAGAAACAGTCAAGGACCAAGAAACAACGGTAGAAGAGATAGTTTCCGAAGCTCCGGCGGCGGCGGAGCTGCCAGTTGTCGAAGAGACGAAGGAAGTCGAGCCTGCAGGAGCTGTAGAGGAAGTGGTGGAGCCTGTTGCCGAAGAGACGAAGGAAGCCGAGCCTGCAGCCGCTGTAGAGGAAGCGGCGGCAACTGTGGAACCTGAAGCCTCAGTTGAAGTTGAAACCGAGGAGGTGGTAGAAAAATCCAAAGTTGTCATTGAGGAGCCAGTGGAGGAGACTCCTAAGGAAGCAGTGCCGGAACTAGTTGCCGGGGAGGAGAACAAGGAAGCCACTGAGCCCGCCATTGAAACCAAAGAAACTGTAGTCTCTAGTGAGACACCAGCTGAACCCGAACCAGAAACAGAATCTGCTACCGAAGCACCCAAATAGTAAGCCGAGAAGGAAGAAGAAGAAGCAAAACCAACCATGCGTGTCATGTCGTGTTCTCTTTTTCTGTAAAGAGTTGGGTTTCTTGAGTCCCGAATCAGCTTGGGTCCAAGTTTAATGTTTTAGTTCTGTTTTTATTGCAAAAGGCAGTTTGTATAGGCTATAAGCCTGCATGTTGTCTTGGATGTCTTTAATTATAATAATCCGAGTCCCTTTGTTCAACATTTGTTGACCGTCCAATTTCTTACTATTGATCCAATATTCCCAAATTAATATCTGATATCACGTTTTGTTTAAATTCTGAGATCATCCATTGTCACGGAGTAAAATCAAGCATGTTCAAACTTCAAAAAACCTTAGGAAATCACCCCTAGGGGGGCCGATCCATCTTCTATCTTCATCAACTTGTTCTGTGATTTGACGGAGGGAGGGGGCTTCCTCTATCCAAAAACTGTCGTTCGATCCCATTCCATCTCCAGCAGCTAGCTGGTGAGCCGCTCGGTTGCTGTTTCGTGGTGTAAATCTGAAGGCACGTGTACTGAAAGCTTCCGATCGTCGCCGTGCATCCCAGATAAAGGCGCCTATTTCAGAAAAATCCGGATCGGTGGAAGATAGCCTGGAAACGACAGATCGTGAGTCTCCTTCAATTATTACTTCCTTAAATCCCAGATCAAGAACAAAAACCATTGCATGTACTGCTGCCTGTGCTTCAGCCGCGAAAGGCAAGGTAATTCTAGGTGAAAACCTTCTGCATGCTCCCATGATTTTCCCTTCATTGTTCCTAATGATCACTCCTAGCCAAGCTGATTGATGTGCTTGGGAGTTTCGGGCATCAAAGTTGAATTTTACAGTATTTTCCGGCGGTGGTGACCAGTGTATCACATCAGAATGCAAAGGCCCTTGGAGCCAGGTGTTTGCCGTGGAAAAATCAAAGCATTGGGAATTGATTAAGGTAATAATTTCCTCAATCTTAAGTCGTTTACCTTCATGAATCTGAATATTGCGACGGTACCATAACGCTCAAATTGACACACAAATCTGGGTTGTTTTGGCCGAGGGAGCACGAGTCGTGAGCTACTCGTACCATTATGGGAAATCAACATCCTCCATATGATTTTGCCATTCAATACCAAGGCGTGCCCAACATTTATTTAAATATTTATCACATATATATTCTTTATGTCTAATAATATTTTGATCTTCCTCTTTTTCTGTCAAATATACATAGAGATAGAGATGAACATGAATGTGTGACTTTATGTTAGGGTACTAACTAATTTACTTTAATGGTTAAAGGAACCGTTGTAATTCTTAAAGGTCACGGATTCCAGTATCAGCGACCGCAGCAGAGTGATTGAGTGTTCATTGTCAAATGATTAAAAATATTTAAAACATATACTAATTTATAATCACCTTAACTTAATAAAAAAATACTTTATATAGGGGGTATAAATCTTAAAAAGTTGTATTAAAAATTTAAGAAATATAAAATTATAATATTTAAAAAAATATGAAATAAAATTATAAAATTATATAAAAATTTTAAGTTTTTTAATAAATGCAATTATGAAAAATTATGAAAAAAAATAGTTTTGCCTCTTCTTTGGATAGAGCCACTCTAGATGTTGGTTCTGAGAAAATGGGCCCAGGGGCTAATGAAAGCTCCACAGGCTGCTATATTTGGGCCCAGGGGCTAATGAAAAAATATATTTTGATTTTTTTGGAAATATATATTTGGATTCAGGTAGATATTGTTTGATAAGTGTTACTTGGATTAGGGCTGTAAATGAGACGAGATCGACTCGATCAATGCTCAATAAATACTCGGATCGAATGGATTCGAGCTCGACTTGAGTTCTTAATGAGCCAAAACGAGCTACTCGATATTTGACTCGAAAAGCTCATGAGTAGCTCGAAAATATAATATATTAAGATTTTATTTTTTTAAAATAAATTATTAATAATATTAATATTTATGTATTGATTTTTTTTTAAAAATACATTAAGATTTCATGTATTTAAGGTTCATGTTCGAGTTTGAGTTTAAGGCTTTAGTCGAGTTAAATTTAAGAATTTTTTTTCATTTCGAGTCTTTTCGAGCTGCTCACGAGCTTCAGTTCAGGATTTCGAGTTCGAGTCGAGCTTGAAAATTTTAAGCTCACGAGGTTTCGGGTCGAGTCGAGCTCCATTTCAGAGTTTTTTAGTCGGGTCGAGTTTCATTTCAGATTTTTTTAGTCGAGTCGAGCTCAGCAATACTCGAACTCGACTCGACTCGTTTACCCCCCTAACTTGGAGCAATAGTTCACCTTGGTTGCTCTCAACATTATTAATGAATTTTCATTTTTTTTTAAAAAAATTATCAGGGATATAAGAAATAATAACATTTTAAATGTAATATTTTAATTTAGTACTGATTAAAGAAATTAATTACTCTAAACAATTACGTTTTTCTATATTTAATGCGTCCCATCCAATAAGTCCCCATAGGCTCATTAGCTGGAGAAAGATATTTTATCCATTATGAAGAAATCCAAAATAGTGCTCTTTACCAACCACTCACCAATATCCTCCATATTTTTAATAAGAATTCTTTGGTTAAATTAATTTCTAAAATATTGTGGTTAAAATAAAAGTTTCTAGAATGCAAGCTCTCGTTTTCTAATTTTTAATGATATTACTTTTTAATTCTAGTTTTCAATAAACGTAATAACCGGTCAATATTTTTTCTTATATCATGTATATTATATACTTTTATCAAATATTAATATTTAATATACTAATAATATAAAATTTAAATTACATGATCAAAACTTATTAAATGAATTTACTGTTAAATCATTCTGAGTTTATTTTTATTTTTTAATTAAAATTTTCAAAAGTAAAGTAAAGTTCGTGATTCACGAACTGCAATGAATATGGGTATTGAATTATTAATTAAAGAATATGATAAAAGAAAAAAAAAATCGCTGTTTGGTCGATGACTATCTCGTAACTATATTCTGCATGTTAACTACATGGTATAAACAGTGGGTAACAGGCTATTTTATTAAACTTACATTATTTAATCGAATATTTACTTCTTTAGTACCGTTTGATATATATTTCTCGAAGTGACACCCTTTCGGCTGAGCTAGCGAAAGGCACATCCCCGGAGGCGCGCTTTACCCGGGTTTTCGCTGAGTTAGATGCCACGTGTGGAAGACGCATCCCTGGGGACACGCCTTCACGGGATTCTGATGACTCGACTGCCACGTGTGGAAGGCGTATCATGGGGACGCGCCTTCCATTAAATACCATAAATGCCCCCATATGTTTTTCCTAATTACCACTCCTCCTCTCCTATATAAACCCCCCTCAACCTTCCCTCATTTTTCACACCAAAATCATATTCTCCTCGCTTATATAACTCAAATTCTCCAACTATTTGAATTTTAAATTTATTATTAGTAATAAGAAATTTATTTTTATATTAGTATTTTTTTAAATAGTTATTATATTTTATATTAATATATTTATATAAATATATTTTTTATTAAAATAATATTTATATAATTATTATTTTATTTAGAATTATTAATTTTTTGTGTGCTAATTATATTGTTTCGTCTACAGTTATAATGGAAAACGAAATGCTGCTGCGATTGGATATTGATTATATCTACAGACATTTTAGCGATATGGTAATATTTTTTATAATTAATGTTAATATTTAAATTTATTTTTATTTTAAAGTTATTATGAATTTATATTAATTTTAATTTTTTATAATGTATATTATTTAGGACACTGATTGTATTTTAGAGACTTTTATTAAAAATCCACGTATACCGACATCGGAACGTATTTTGCCATATTTGGCTTCTGCAGGGTTCGGGTATATTGTAACAATTATTGGCGGTTGTAAACTCGAACCTGTCTTAATTTCTGCACTGATTGAGAGGTGAAGGCCCGAGACACACACTTTTCACCTTCCATGTGGAGAGGCCACAATTACATTGAAGGATGTCTCTATGCATCTGGGGCTTCCCATCGACGGAAATATGAGTGGTATGGTGGATGGTGATTGGCAGTCAATGTGCATTGATTATCATGGAGCTGCTCCGCCAGAGTTTAATGGAGGTAGAATAGCTTTATCTTGGTTGAAAGCTAATTTTGAGGTTTTAAATGAAAATGCTTCAGAGGATCAAGCAAAGGCATGTGATCGGGCATATATTCTACGAATAATTGGAGGAATATTGATGCCCGACAAATCTCGCAACCAGGTGCATTGTATGTGGTTGCGGCATCTGATCGATTTTGATGAAGCTGGAAGATATAGTTGGGGCTCTGCAGTTTTGGCATTTCTCTTTAGAGAAATGTGTCGGGCGACGAATTATAAGAAAACTGCTATCGGTGGATGTCTCATGCTTCTACAATCATGGGCGTGGTTCCGCATGCCTTTCTTATGCCCGATCGTGAATGAACCATGCGTATTACCCTTATTGTTGAGGTAATTTTCGAACTAAATTTTGATTTAAATATTTTTAATTAAATATGGTGATATTTAGTTTATATTATATTTCATAGGTGATCGATGAAAAGAAAGAACCATAAAAGTATACCTACTGGGTTAGAGGAAATTCGTTTACTTATTGATACGGAAGCTGGGTCTGAGGTATGTTTTTAAATCTGTTTAAATATTAATATTTTAATTTAAAATGCTAGATATAATTAGAATATTTTATTTATTTGAATTGTATATTTATATTTCAGTTTCAGTGGATACCTTATGCGAGCGATGAAGTGAAGGCTTGCATCCCACCCCACCTTAGTGGGTCATTAGAGGTATGGATATCGGTTATACCTCTTATATGTTATGCTATTATTGAGTGGCATCCAGTTGATCGTGTGCTCCGTCAGTATGGTTGTACGCAATATATTCCTGGAGCACCTAGGAATTTAGACGACATACATAACATAGATAGACGAGGAAAGAAAGAGATTAACTGGGTGGTAAGACACAGAGATTGGATTGCGCTTTGGGAGAACCGATATACACTGTTGGCCCCTCGACAATATTACGCTGAAACTGGTCATATGGTTACGGATAACTATATGGACTGGTTTAATGAAAATGGGAAGCCGTTTCTACTTTCAGCGGAAGCACGAGGGGTTAACATTCTTAGGCGCCGAGAATGACGACAACCGTCTCAATATCATCGTCCCCCGACGCGGGGACGTAGAGAATGCGCTACCGGTTCTGCATCAGTCCCACCACAACATCCTTATCCATCGATGCTGCAGGGGTACATGCCCAACCCTCCACTTCATATGCCAAGCCCACCAGTTCATATGCCATCTCCGCAGGGTTACATTCCTAGCCCGCCAGGTTACATGCCTAGCCCGCAGGGTTTTATACCATATGGAGGTGCATATACGACTATGTTTAATGATCCAGCATATGGTTCATATGCATCTTATTTGGCTGGTGGTGCTTCTCTGTAGACACCTCAATCTCCATCTGGATCACAGACATCGATGCCAATGTTTCCACAGTTTTCACAGTTCTCGGGGAGCGGTGGGATTGTTACTAGTACTCCTCCAGGGTCGTTATTTTATACAGGCCCTTCAGCCCCTTCAGTGTCATCTACACCAAATGAAGAAAATGTTGCTGATGATGATAGTGAAGATGAGGAGACTGAATAACAAGTTCCACGAAGAAATCCTCCACGAAATAAACAACCACCGCCATGTGGAACTCATTCGAGAAGACAACATCGGTGATCCAGTTGTATTTTAATGTTATTTAAATAGTTATATTTCAGAATTTTATGTAATTTGGTTATGTTATTTAAATGTTTCATGGTTGTTACATACATATTTTTAATGTTATTTTTTATTCACATTTAACATTAAATGTTTGATAAATGTTTTTAAAATACAAATTATATTATTCGAAATTTAAAATAAAAATAAAAATAGTATTATTCAAAATTTAAATTTAAAATATAAATTATAGTATTCGAAATTTAACATTAAATTTCAACTTAATATTCCAATTGTATTCGAAATTAAAAGTTATATTCCAATTATAGTTCACAATACTTAAATTGAAATTAAATTTATCCATACATATGATTTTATCATTAACATATATATTAAAACGTATACATTAAAATCAACTTATCACTTCACATTTATTCGTAAAAACATCTCGATGCTCATTCCATACAATTTCAATGTCACAATCAACTTATCACTTCACATTTATTCAATTTATCCATAATATTTTATCTAATTTATTTCAAACTTCACATAACGTTTTAATTTAAGTTATGAACTTAAATTAATCTATATGTATAATTTATTCTTAACTTGTTGAACTTTTAAAAGAAGTTAAATTTTGGTTATAAATTACCTGATTTCACAATCCATCTAGTGTCCCCGAGGGACATGAGTGACATAATAGGGCAATGATAACATATTCTCTCACAAAATAATGGAAGGCGCCCCCCCGGGAACGCGCCTTCAAGTCCCCTGAGAAATAATAGGTACTGATATGAATAGTGTTCTCGAGGGACATGAGTGACATAATAGGGCAATGATAACATATTCTCTGACAAAATAATGGAAGGCGCTCCCCCGGGAACGCGCCTTCAAGTCCCCTGAGAAATAATAGGTACTGATATAAATAGTGTCCCCAAAGGACATGAGTGACATAATAGGGCAATGATAACATATTCTCGGACAAAATAATGAAAGGAGCGCCCCCGGGAACGCGCATTCAAGTCCCCTGAGAAATAATAGGTACTGATATGAATAGTGTCCCCGAGGGACATGAGTGACATAATAGGGCAATGATAACATATTCTCTGACAAAATAATGGAAGGCGCGCCCCCAGGAATGCACCTTCAAGTCCCCTGAGAAATAATAGGTACTGATATGAATAGTTTCCCCGAGGGATATGAGTGACATAATAGGGCAATGATAACATATTCTCTGAAAAAATAATGGAATTCGCGCCCCCGGGAACGCGCCTTCAAGTACCCTGAGAAATAATATGTACTGATATGAATAGTGTCCCCGAGGGATATGAGTGACATAATAGGGCAATGATAATATATTCTCTGACAAAATAATAGAAGGCGCGCCCCCAGGAACGTGCCTTCAAGTCCCCTGAGAAATAATAGTTACTGATATGAATAGTATCCCCGAGGGACATGAGTGACATAATTGGGCAATGATAACATATTCTGAACATAATGGAAGGCGCGCCCCCGGGAACGCGCCTTCAAGTCCCCTGAGAAATAATAGGTACTGATATGAATAGTTTCCCCGAGGGATATGAGTGACATAATAGGGCAATGATAACATATTCTCTGACAAAATAATGGAAGGCGCACCCTCGGGAACACGCCTTCAAGTCCCCTGAGAAATAATAGGTACTGATATAAATAGTGTCCCCGAGGGACATGAGTGACATAATAGGGCAATGATAACATATTATCTGACAAAATAATGGAAGGCGCGCCCCCTGGAACGCTCCTTCATGTGAATAGTACTCCGATTATAGACACTATTATATGCAACGTATTATAAACTTTCAAAACAAACTTCAGTTCACAAGCTTTCAAATTCTCAAATTCACAAACTCTAAATTCTCAAATTCTCTGAAAATGAGTCGTCTTTCTGTTGTTGTTTTGTATGATGGAGAAATTAAGGAAGCTGAAGAAGGGGTTATTTTTGAGTCAGATCATTATATCCCCTTAACCTTGAAGAGAAACATCACAATTGAGGAGTTAATCACAAAAATTTCGTTAAAAATTCGTGTAGCAGGCCAGAGAAGACTATCTTAACTTCAGTATAGATTTCCTACTGAACTTTTTTCGCTCACGTATACATCATTTCAGCTTTCAAACGATGATGATGTTTCTATGATGGTTGATGCTCATATGGGGAGTTCAAAATCTCTTATTGAAATGTATGCCACTTTTATTGAGGTTTGTGTAACTCGTGGTCTCTTATATTCCTCTCACTTTGGCATTGCATATCAAGCTGATCAAGTTGATAGCCCGACACAACTGATCTGTAATGATTTCACATCATTAATGGCGGATCCAACGCCAGATGCCATGCCATCAAGTTCAATAGGAAGGCATTCATCTGCAACTACTTATGATCTTAACCCACGTGGCTTCACCAATAATCCATATGGCAACATCTCTTCTACTTCAAGGGGCAGACATTCATCTGCCAATGTTTTCGACTTATATATAGAAATGCCAACGAGACGGCAGTCTATTCACATCCCACATGATAAAATGGCCTCAAGTTCAAGGGGAGGACACACAAGCGGGAACTTATTTGACCTCAACATTAGATTATCAGAGGAACCCTCATCTCCACCAGAAGAACCTCTTCGGGAGCCAGGTGCAGATGGTGCTGAAACGGGATTATTTGTTGAACCTGACTCATCACAGTTTAACGTACATTCTGATGATGACGAGGATGACGTTCCGATAAATACAACACCAGCCGAACTTCCTGCACATATGTATGAGGCTGATTATGATGTAATGTATGAGCATGAATTTCCAGATCTTCCTGATGTTGGCAACTATGGACTTCAATCATCAGTCAATAACGGTAATTTACATATTGGAATGGAGTTCGCATTGAAGGAGGAAGCAATGATGGCAATAAAGAGTTACAATATTCGTAACTCAGTTCAGTCCCGAGTTGATCGATCTAACACGGAGAAATATGTCTGCTACTGCGTCCAACGTGACAACGGATGTCAATGGATGGTCCGTGTATCAAAGAGGAAAAGGAAGAACAACTTATGGGAACTAACCAGATAAAACGGTCCTCATACATGTTGTGCAAGAGGTATAAACCAGGATCATCCCAACTTGGACTCCAACATTATTTGCCAAACAATCATGCCCATTGTGAAGCAAAGCTCTCATATAGTTGTTGCAGTGTTGATTTCTGCTATACAGTCACAATATGGGTACACTGTCTCATATAAAAAAGCGTGGTTGGGAAAACAGAATGCCATTTGCAAACTTCATGGCGAATGGGATTCCTCTTACAACGAGCTGCCCAGTTGGTTTCATGTTGTGCAAAGACTTAATCCCGGGACAATTGTTGAGTTCGAAACTCAACATCATTACGTGAATGATCAAATGGTGCGATTGTGGTTTCTTTCAAGCACTCAGATATCCATGCTCTCATGTCATTGCAGCTTGCTCACATTCGTATTTGGACTACAAAAATTATGTTGATCCCGTATATCAACTTTCACAAGTATTCAAGGTATATGAATTTGAGTTTCCGCCCATAGGAAACGAAAGAGACCCAAATGAGATTCAAACTTGGCTTACAATTGTACCAGATCCATTGCTATTGAGGGACTCAGGTCGTCCAAAATCTACTAGAATACATTGTGATATGGATATTCGGGAGAAGTCAACAGAACAAAAACGATGTGGCATTGTAGAAACATCGGGCACAATAGAAAAAAATGTACAGCTCTGTTATCATCATATAACCGTTAACTCTTATGTAATTAATATTGTATTTAAATGAATGTTTTTGTTTCTAATAATTTAATGTTATTATATTTTATATAATTTGTCAATGTATGTACACCTAAATAATTTTTTAACTTTTAAATACATAAATATTTTCAATATATTTATTTAATATAATAATTAATATTATTAGTTATAAATTTTTTAAAAATATAATAATAATTCCACCTTCTAAGTAGAGAAAAATATTAAATTAAACAAATTAAAAGTTATTAAAAAAATTATGTATACGATGACACATTTCATGTTCTGATTGGAGGATTAAATTTATTAAATTATATTTTCAATAAGACTAATTTCATAAAATATGTAAGTCTTGAAGATTAAAAATGTAATTATACTAATTTATTAACTTATGCATCAATATTTTCGTTAAATATTGATAAGAGATGACTAGATTGATAACATTTAAATAATTAACTGATAAAATTAATAGATCGATAATCAAAATAAAAAATAATAATATAACCATATGTGTAATATTATAATTTCATACATTTTTCCTATAACTACAATAAAATCAAAACTGGTTTTCATATATCGTTCTATTATATTAATGTATATAATTCACTCCACCTTTAACACACATTAACAAAATACATTTGATAATTCTTAAATTATAATCGAAACACTTTACATAATATATTACTAATTTATAATAATAATAAAAATAAAATATTTATTATTAAACAAAATACCAGCGGGGAAGTCGAGTCATCATAATCCCGTGAAGGCACGTCCCCGGGGATGCGCCTTCCACACGTGGCATCCAACTCAGCGAAAACTCGGGTAAAGCGCGTCCCCGGAGATGCGTCTTTCGTCAGCTCAACCGAAAGGGTACCACTTCGAGAAATATATATCAAACGGTGCTAAAAAGATAAATATTCAGTTAAATAATGCCAGTTTGGTCAAATCGCCGGGCTAACAATACCAGGTGCGCCATGAAAATGATAACAACTATATGATGACAAGATGACGTAAAACCCATATGATCATTATAATATGTTAAATTTTCAAATATTAAATATGTATTTGAAGTGCATAAATCACATTAATTAAATTTAAATGCATCCAAGGCTGTAAACGATCCGAGTCCAGCTCGACTCGACTCGAAAATTCGCGAGATTAGAATTTTAAAGTTCAATTTGAACTCGAAATCATAAATTGAAGCTTATAAAAGATTTAAATAGAAAAAAAATCTTAAACTTAACTCGATTGAAGTCTCAATCTCAAACTCGAGCCTAAACCTTAAATACATGAAAACCTTATTTTGCATTAAAAAAATCAACATATAACTGTTAATTTTATTAATAATTTATATTTTAAAAAAATAAAATCTTAATATATTATATTTTCGAGTTACTCACGAGCTTTCCGAGTCGAATATCAAGTAGCTCATTTCGATCTATTAAGAACTCAAGTCGAGCTCGAGCTTGAGTTGAGTCTATTCAAATCAAGTATTTATCGAGCTTTAACCGATTCGATCTCAAGTAATTCACAATCTATCTCATCTCATTTACAGTCCTAAATGCATCCCTCATGTTTATTAAACTTAATACATTTATATTTTTGGATAAGAATAAATTTGTTTGAATGGTTATTGACGATCCACCCCTCTAAGTTTGAGTAAAAAAGTCACGCTTGATGAGGAAACGACCATAAAACATTATTTTTCAGAAAAGAGGATCGGTCGCGTAGGATGAAAAAGGAGACATAGGGATTATGAAAGTTTCAATTGTTTTTCTAATATCGGTTGAGCTATTTATTTGTTATTTAGCGCATGTATTAGTAATAGGATAATTATAATTATTCATAAACTAACAAGTTAGACATATCTAATTGCTAAATCTTAAATTATGCTTCGATAAGACACGTGGATCGAGTAAAGGTTTTGTCTATATATTATAGTTGGTTACGAGGTACATGTTTGAAAGATGTACAGTAGTGAATGCATGAAGTCTTGGAAGGGTTCAATTGCTCGAATATTGAGGAAAGATATTGTCCGGCTCAACCTTTTGTCTCTAAGGTTTTTAATTCGACTACTCTTCGTACGTACTAGAATGAACATTGTATTTGCTACAATTAGGTTATTCAAAAAAACAAAACGAAAATGAAGAAGAGAAAGAGAGATTCCTCCATTAAAAAGCTTTGTATTCAGGCGTGCAATTTTGTCGGTATGCTGGCCTACCACACAGTTACAGGGGAAAAAAGAAAGGGTAAAAAACTTGGGTGAAAACATGGCCTTAAGAAAGGAACCCTTCGAGATAAACACCAGCACTTCCACCAACTTGTCATTTTCATAAACCTATCTACAAAAGGGTGGCCCCTTAATTCCATTTGCAACTCTCAAATCTCTTCATTTCGGGTTCCTACACATAGCCGGAAAAACCGAGAGAGAGAGAGAGAGAGAGAGAATGTGGCGGATGCTGGTGGCTTTGCGACGGAACCTTCAAAACATCAAGAAAAGCCACCGTGTAGCGGATGAGAACATGGTGGTCGGAAGTGGAGGGAACAATGATGGAGGCGAGATGCCGGGTTTCGTGGATAGAAGGTGGAATGGTCTTTCTGTGATTTGCAGCGTCGTTAGAGCTCCTTTTACACTGATTTCTTGCTTCTCTCAACCCCATGTTAATGGCGCCGATGGAGTCTGGGTTTCCGGCCACGAATTCGCTCAAATCTCAGAGATGAACCATTTGATGGTAAGTGATAGCATGCGTTATGCAATCTTGATGTAAAAGATTAAAAAAGTGGGGATGGATTTTAGCTACTCTATTATAGAATTGTTTTCTCTTCGGATATTCATTTTCTTCTTCTTCTTAAACAACAGTCTTAGTTTGATGTCGATACTATACGTGCATATTTATATGTATATGTATTTGTACGAATGCAAAACAACTTAGCTGTGAAATAATTTCAGGGTTTGATCTTATACTTTGTCTTTGTATTGGGTGTTTATACTTAATCCGGTTTCTCATCTTTTCTTAATTTGTTTCATGAAATTACAAACCAAGTCCCCCCAAGATAGAAAAATCTCAATAAACCCTAATCTTTATGCTTGAAACAATGGAATAATGGCACTAAAATATAAAATAAAAAGAGGAGAGAGTTTGTGGTTTTCATTACAGAGATTTGCCACTGCCGGGCATCAATGCTACAAGTAAATCATTAATAAATTGGAAAAAGAGATAAGTTGGAATCATTTTTTTATCTTTAAATTAATTAATAAAGTTCATACAACTAATAAAGAAATATACTGATTACAGGTTAATTTTGAATTAATTAGTAGGAGAGAATAAGCTTAATTAGAAGGAGATTAGCTTTGATTATACAGTACAAATAAAAACAAGTTATGTCGAATCAATTCTAAAACCTCTACTTTCCCAGACACCAATTAACTCTGACCACGTCATTGATTCCTGAAGGCATATTTGAAGAAAAATAGACTTAAAAGTTGATTTTATTTTATAAATACTATGTTTTCAATTAGTGATGATCGGGTAAGCTAATTAAATGGTATTTTAATACAATAGACGTGCAACATCTGCATTCAAATATTCAAAATGGATGTTGATGGCACTGGTTCAAAGTTCAATGGTTGAAGAAGATGTGATAAAAAAATCAGGGATTAAAATGATTAAATGATAGAATTAGAGGATCAAAAAGTTCATTCTGCCCTCTATTTGAAAAAAGAAACAGCTATATAAACAAAGCATAACCTTATCTAAATTCAGTACATTTCAGATATCAATTTACTCCTTTATGTCAAAAAAAAGTATACACAATCTAAACTTAAATGAATACATTATTGGTGTTTAGATTTTGATATTAATTTAATACTATATATTGTATTTACATGATTGATAAAAGGCACGAAAATAACAACTTACATGCGCAAATATAAAGCTTAAACCCATTCATCAATGTTGGAGTACTGATGAGAAGGGTGTAATGGATTTGTATAAGTGTGCAAATGAGGCAAGATTACCCAAACAACAAAACACGTGGTTGAGATCTTATACATGTACACATCTTCAGTGGGACATGAAAGAAGAAAATGGGTCAACGGCTCCACCTCCATGTTCCACACATAAACATACATGTATACGTATACATAATATGGACACATAATTTTATGTTAGGAAGACGGACCCGAACTTATAAAATTTCAAGGGGTGAACTTAATGTTATAAAACTCTAAGGGGGTGAAAAAGGATTTTCAATAAAAAATACATAAAATTTTTTAAAATATATGATAATTTTAAACTCATCTGCCCTTCTAAATTCATCCTTGCATATACACCGACGAAGCCAATATAAATTATATATGTATAAATTAAAGAAATGACACCACTTTTAAAAAATTTTGACACCCTTTAAAAAATGATCTCACATTTTAAAAAAAATTCAACAATAGAAATTTTAATAAGCTAGTAAACGAATCGAACGTTTAGCGAACTGTTCGGCGGGAAGTTTGTTTATGTTCATTTATTTATTAAACGAAAGAACATGAACGAGGTTTTATGTTCGTTTAATTAAATGAACGAACACGAACAAAAGGGCTTGTTCGTTCATTTGCGTCGTGAACGTTCAATAATCTATTCATTTATGTTCATTCATTTTTGTTTGTTCGTTTATATTTAGTGCAATCTCCATACCCTTTTGAAATATTAATACCTAATAAATTTTAACCTTAAACTCATTAATATTTAAAATTCAATTAATTATATAGCCAAATAAAAAAAACTCAAATCAATTAAAGAAAATATAAACCCTAAAACTATTTGAAAAGAATTTTTTTGTCAAATATAAAATCAATTAATTTTATGTTCGTTTATTTATGTTCATTTACGTTCATTTGTGTGTTCGTTAACGTTCATTGTGTTCGTTTATTATTTTAACAAACGAACACGAACAAACTACATTTTTTTAATGAACGAACACAATTTTTTGTTCATTTAGTAGTTCATGTTCGTTCATTTGTTTGATTAAAGTTAAACAAAATAACATGAACATATCCTCATTCATGTTTATTCGGTTCGTTTACAAACCTAAAATTAAATATTTAATTTTCCCACTCAAAATAATTCTTCATATATATATATATATATATATATATATATATATATATATATATATATATATATATATTATATGAATGATTATAACGTGCACTAGTGGTGTTGAGTGCTATCCTTGATTAGCTACAAGAACTAATTCTATTGGGAGCATTGGCTGGTTTCAGATTGATGAATTATCGTCCAGTTTTGTCGGCAAATCAATCAATGTTTCATTGGTTTTGCATATTATTTTGCTAACCCTGTTTTAAATATGGACCATGTTAATTTCCATGTCACCTCAAATGTTGGTAGGTTGGACTCTTGGAGGGAGAATCATATTTTGTTGAGTTTGACGATACACCACATGAATCAGTGGTTCATACATGTAGACCACAAGGCACTCATCAACAACAAGATTATTTGTGTAGTATCCATTAAATTAAATATTTCTATTTGAAGTTGAATTCATCAAGCAGATGAGAAGAAGCTGATTGAATATTTGTACACGTATGGACAAGTTGAACGATTTTAAATTAAGGAAAAAAAAAACTTGATCTAATTTCATCTCATTTTGAAATTTTAAATTATTCCAGTCAATCTAAATTTTACACAATAGTCGAGGTGGTGGGTCGGCTGATGTTATGGGATGAAAGTTTGACGGGTTTGGGAGCTGACCCAGGTCTGGAAATGGGTCCAGATTCCACATGGGTTTAGGACAAAAAGTGGGCTAATGGGTTTAAGATTTCAGGTCTAGTTATTTAATTTTAAATTTGACTCCGAACGGGAATTAATGTTTATATATATATATATATATATATATATATATATATATATATAGATAGATATATATTGGGTACGATTGAATTGTTCAGTCTAAAATCGTTGAATGAGAGAAATTAAATGCTAAAATTAGTTTATTGTATTTTTCAAGTGAATATTTTCTCATTTCTATTAATAATTTCGGCCTTTTATTTTTTTCGTCTAATGATCCTAAAAAGGTGTAAAACTAAGAGTTTTACATGGTATAATTGGATTTTATCTTATATATATATATATAATGTTAGGATCCAATCACATAGTATAAAACTAAAAAGTTTTATACTTTTTTAGGATAGTTGGATGAGGGGAAATCAATGGTTGAAATTAAGAGTGGAAAATGAGAATACATTCACTAGAAAAAACAAGGAGTTAATCTCATCCTTTGATTTTCCCTCATCCAATAATCCTAAAAGGGTGTGAAAATAAAAGTTTTACGCTTGATGCAAGTGGATCCTAACTAGTATATATATATAGGAATCCTGTTACACAATGTAAAACTCTTTTAGTTTTACCTAGATTTAAGACCATTGGATGAATGAAATCATATGGCTGATATTAAAAGTAAGAAATATGAAGATATTTACTGGGAAAAAAATAATGAGTCAATCTCAGCCATCTATTTTCACTCATCCAGCAGTCCTAAATCTGTTTAAAATCAAATAGTTGTACATTTTGTAAATAGATCCTAACCCACACACACATACATTTGATAAAACTGAGATGAATATAACGTAGTATCAATTTAAAGACTTTTAATCATTTGGTAATAAAATCTTATACTCTTACTATCGTGATGCTCGAATCCAAGACTTCAAAAGATAACAACAAGTCTCTTAACCACTAAGATCGCTTGGTATGTACCATAATTGTATTCTTTTAAATTAAAAAAATAATATGATTCTCTTGACATAATTTTTCCAAATCAAATCCCTAAAATATAATATACATAAATAATAATACTTTATAAATATTTTATTATTATTAAAATTTATCTAATTTATGAGTAATAAGTTTTATTTAGTTAAACACAAACCAAGTTACGTTAGTGGTTAGAAAGATTTAAAGAGAATGCTATTATCTTTAGAGATTTTGAGTTTGAGCACAAGCGATTGTAGAGTACTTAAATATTATTCATTAAACGATTGAGACTCTTTAAAACATATATTATCAGATGTAATTATCCTAGATTAATAAAAATATTTATTTAGTTAAAGTATTTTGGTTAAATGAATTAATTTTACCATAAATAAAAAAGTTCAAATTTATAAGAAGTTGTTTAACATTTTTTATCATTAGCAACCAAACCATTTTATTAAAATTTATATGGTGTAAATAAAAAATATTAATTTATATTTATAATTCTGCATTAGTAGTTAAAGCAATAAATTATATAATGATTTCACATAATTTGCAAAATTTAAATTAGTTAATATAGAAATTTTAATTTTATTTGTTTTAATTTTGATATATAAAAATAACAGTATAAATATAATTTTTTGGGTAAACTACTTATTTAGTACCTAAACTATTAGTTTTGATCCGTTTTAGTACCTAATTTTTAATTTTTTAAAAATTATACCTAACATTTAGTTTTCATTTCATTTTAGTACCCTACCATTAAAAACTTAACACATTTAGTACCTAAACTATCAGTTTTGATCCGTTTTAATACCTAAACTTTTAATTTTTTTCAAAACATAATGTTAAGTTTTGAACGGGTACTAAAATAAAACAAAAACTAAAGTTTTTAGTGGGAGGGTACTAAAAAGTAAAAAGAAACAAAAACTAAACTTTATGTATGATTTTAAAAAATTAAATGTTTAGGTACTAAAACAAATCAAAACTAATAATTTAGGTACTAAATGTGTAATTTACCCTTTCTTTGAATCTAATATTCATTAAATTTTAAATTATAATTATTTTAAAAAAATTGACAGCATGAATTAAATGGTCTCTGTGATAAAGAAATTATTGTTATTATTTGAGGACTCAAATTCAAGTACTGTAGATACCAAAGATATGAGTCTTCAATGTCAAAGAGTTATAAGATTTTTTAAATAGATATTATTTTATATTTACCTAAATCATTAAAGAAAAAAATCTAAAACTTGTTTTCTTTACAGGCATTTTCTCTCTCTCCAAACAAAACCTTTTTTCCTTGTTGCATTTCTATAAGACAAATTTATATGAATATTTTTAATTGAATTTGCATTTTGGGTGTTACAAAATTGAGTTTTTTTACTATAAGAAAGGACAGAACAAAATTGAAACAAGGAAATATTATTTGAGGGGAACAAGGCAAATAGAAGAGAACAAAGAGGATGAGATTAACCTCTATTCTTATTCTTATTGTGCCTCCTTTCAGATCTTAGTTTTTTTTTTGGCAAGATTTGGCACTTGGATTTGTTTTGATCGGTGGGTTTTTTGGCGATGAATCTGGATTTGTGTTTTAAACCTTTTGCTTAAATTTGCAATAAACTTTTACAGCTACCTGATTGATCAACTATCTGGGTTTTGGTGTTTTGCCTCTTTCATTTCTGAATTCCAGGTGAAGCTATTGACTGTGGAAGGATCTGTTTGTTTTTAGCTTTGAATCGGAGAGAAATTTTCATTGTGTATTTGATTACATGTTTTGTTAGATAAAATGTATTGAATTCTATCTGCATTTATCGTGATTAGATTGCTATAGTCAATAACAGACATGATTTTGATTTGATATTGTTAATTTGATTCATGAAGAAGGGACATTTTGGTATTGGTTTTTGACTGGTTTATTGTTGTTGTTGCAATGGAATGTTCATATATTGCATTTGATCCAGTAATGAATTTGACCGTTAAAGTTTGTATTTGGTTTAGGTTTGCGGATGGTTTGGACTTTGTATTGATCAAACTAGTTTTTATGTAATGCAGAAAAAGATGTCTGAGAATGGTAAGCTATTTATTGGTGGAATATCTTGGGACACCAATGAAGAGCGCCTCAAGGAGTATTTCAGAAGTTTTGGTGAAGTGGTAGAGACAGTGATCATGAAGGATCGGACCACGGGGCGTGCTCGAGGTTTCGGTTTCATAGTTTTCTCCGACCCAGCCATTGCTGAGAAAGTCATCAAGGAGAAACACAATATTGATGGCAGGATGGTAAGTTGTTGATCATTAAGTTTAAGCAACCTCTTTATATGAATGTTTTCTGATGTACTATTCATTGGCGCTACTAGCATACTGAAGAGGGGGAAAATTCAATTCCCTTTCGAGTGTATGAAACTGATATTATAGTTGCAGGATTTCATATATTTCTGGTTCTGTGTCCAACTAAATTTCAAAAGTAAGCCGAGTGTAACAGTTTCATGCTTCCACTTATTTATCTTTTTCCTTCACAAATATAGTGGTTATATTTGTAATTTAGTATAATCATATATGTTGAGATGAAACAGTTTTTGCTCTAAAGGATTAATTTTTATCATTGAGTTACTCGTGCACAGGTTGAGGCAAAAAAGGCAGTTCCTAGGGATGACCAGAACATTATGAGTAGAAGCACCAATAGCATCCAAGGGTCACCTGGTCCAGGCCACACAAGAAAGATTTTTGTAGGAGGTTTAGCGTTTACAGTCACAGAGAATGACTTTAAGAAATATTTTGATCAGTTTGGGAATATCACAGATGTTGTAGTGATGTATGATCACAACACTCAAAGGCCTAGGGGTTTCGGATTCATCACTTATGATTCAGAAGAGGCAGTGGATAAAGTGTTGCTAAAAATTTTTCATGAACTGAATGGTAAAATGGTCGAGGTTAAACGAGCAATTCCCAAAGAGTTATCGCCTGGCCCTGCTCGTAGCCCCCTTGGTGTATATAACTATGGTTTGAATAGGGCCAACAACTTTCTCAATGGCTACACTCAGGGATATAATCCTAATAGTCTTGGAGCCTATGGACTTAGGATGGATGGCAGATATAGTCCAGTTGTCGGTGGTCGAAGTGAGTTTCCTCCTTTTGGTTATGGTTTTGGAATGGGCATGAACTTTGAGCCAGGGTTGAACCCAAGTTTTGGAAACAGTGCAAATTTTAATAACTATGGGCGAGGAATGAACCCTTATTATATTGGTAATATGAATAGGTTTGGTAGTCCTATTGTGTATGATGGAAGTAATGGAGGTGGAGGTAATACATCCTTTTTCAGTTCAGTGACCCGGAATCTTTGGGGAAATGGAGGGCTCAATTATAATGCAAATGCTGCTAGTTCCAGTGCCTATGCAGGATCTGGAAGTGGGAGTATAGGAGCAAGTGCCTTTGGAAATAGTGGAGTTAATTGGAGTTCTCCAATTTCCAGTCAAGGTGGAAGGAATAATGTCTATAACAGCTTCGGTTTGGGGACTGCAGGGTATGAGAGAAACATTGGGACCAATGTGGTGCCAACATCATCATATGAAGCATCAAATGGTGGTTATGATGGAGCCTTTGCAGACGTTTATGGTTGTGCTTCATTTTATGGGGATACCAATTGGCCATCATCAACATCTGAGCTAGATGGTTCTGGTTCCTTCGGTTATGGACCTGGTAGTATCACTTCTGATGTTCCGGGTAGTTCTCCTGGTTATGTTGGTGGTTATAGTGTTAATAAGGGACAATCAAATAGAGGTAAGGCTTCGTACTTGGCATTGCCTTAGTGTTATTTATTTTCATGGGAGTTTAGTAGCATAATCTTGTTGAGGTGTTATACAAGCATTAGTAATCAAAATATAAAACCTTTCATATGAGGCTCCGCTAGCTTTTACTTCTTTTGGCAATGCTTAAATTTTTCTATATTCACCTTAGTAATAATATAAATCTTCTTTTGGTAATATCTGCATGACTGGTTGCTAGTTTTAACCAGAATGTCAGTTAAGAGTGATAGACATCGTTCGAACATAATGATCATATGTTACGTGTAATGGAAAGGTAAAGTGCTACCAATTCTAAAATACAATTACTTAAAACCTTGTGTCTTATTGGATGGTTTTAAGTAACTGTATTTTAGAATTGTTAGCACCTTTACCTTTCCGTTTTATTAAGCTATAAATAAGTATTCTTGTTGATGGATTGCCAACGTATTCAGTTGTTGAAGTCTTAAGGTCATATTTAATGGAAAGAATACAAGTATCTTATAAGGACACATTTCTTCTGTTCTTTACCTTCTGTAGTTCAGTTTCTAGTCATTCAATTTTTTTATTTTTGTTCCTTCTTTTGAGCTACGCCAGTAAAGCAATTGTGTCTGGTCTTTCTTCTTTGGTTTTCCCCTTAAAACATAACTAGTGGGTGGGTCTAATGCCTACTCTGCAATTTTCTTCTTGATTGTGATGTATCATGTTTCAAATCATAAAATAGATAATGATCTGAGAAGAAAGATGCCGGAAACATAATGGCAAATACAAACGGGTAGAATTTGGGCCTTGCACATTGTCACCATCTTCTAGACTTCTCTTTCTGTAGATTTGAGACCCCATAATTTTCTTATAAGTCTCTTCTATCACTCATTCCTTTCTCTTGAATGTTTATGAAAACACGATACTTGCTACTAAACGAGCTAAGTGCACTATATTTCATTGTCAAAAGGCTGTATCCAACCATTGTAGAACATACTCTTATACCATGATACCTGTAACAGAAAACATGCTTTTTAGTGCGCTCCCAAAAATATTGTTATAAATACTTAGTTGCTTTGTACTGACAGATTTTGATTTTCTCGTGCTTCAGGAATTGCTACCTAGAAGCTTAATTTGATTATCACTGTACTGTAGGTGGGGATAACTTGTGACGCAAGTGATCTGTGAGTTCTGCTAATTTCCGTCGCTTTCAACATGTTTCAGTTTTAAGAATGTTGGTAACCTAGAGCTAAATGAAGTGCCTGTTTTTGGAGAAATACATTTTTTAGAGTTAGGGATCATAAGGTATTTTGTGTTTAAGTCTTGAGTTGCGTTTTTAGGGTTCATTTTTGATTATTCGAGTGAGATGTAAAATCAGATTCCGGAATATAGTCAGAGAATGTATCATGCATCTCATGTAAGGCGGTGATGCGTAACGATATAGATTATAGACTATTTTTTCGTCCTTAGATATCAAGTTCTGTAATGGCTCTGGCAAAGTTGCGAGTTCTTGTCAGGCATGCTTTGCTTTGTCTCTTTTTCTTTTTCCCTTTCCTTCCATTACTTGGGTTTGTCTTTCCGATAAATGTTCGTCCGAATAAGTTGCAGACATGCAATCATTCGTTCGTGGTTGAAACTTTTTTGCTAACAGGGCTGTAACTTTCTTTCTGAAATATTGAAATGAATGGTTTCAATTGATTTTTCACACTAAATATGGAAGCTTTGTTGGTAATTAGTTATGTATATTCTATTTGTCAGCTATTTGTTTGTGATATTATTCAAAATTATGCTTGCAGTCCTTGTTTTATTCACTTTTTGTCATT